CACTGATAACGACTCTCTTTTGCATTTTGACGGCGTTCACAGCTTAGGAAACAAAGAACGTCTACCCATATAAGTGAAACATGGCACACTAACATACATAAACTGTTATGCATGGCTAGTAGGAGAATAGGGAAGAATAAAGGACCGGCGGAATCACTACAGTTCGAAATACTCAATATTTTATGTATCGAAGGGCGCGTAAAGCCGTTACTCTCTTCTGAGAGCTGGGCGATTTTTCCAGATGCGCTCCCAAACTTGCATCGGCTTTAAACCTTGCATAGGGGAGTCGATCTGGTAGTTTTCTCAAAAATATTCGTTGGACAATCAAGCTCCAAATAGATCATGAAGTGATTTGTTTCAGTTGATTATGTGCATCGGATTTGCTGTCGATTTGTCAGCTCATATTGCTTACGCCTATTCCCAAGCCTACGGAACAGCACATGAACGTGCGATATACGCGCTGGAGACACTTGGCTGGCCTGTGTTTTTGGTTTGTTTTATTTTCTTCATTAGCTTTGCGTGTGGACTTCGCAGGTATGTAGGAGTTTTGTGGATTACATAGAGGGACCTCTGTGCCTCACAGGTGAAATGGTGGGCACCGCGCGTCTGGTCGGGCGTCAACAATCCACCATTTAAATCAAAAATTAAAATTAATTTAAATTAAATAACAGTTTAGAATCTTCTGTTGTGCGCAGTCGGTTGTTTAAGATATTGTGGTTCTTTCGGTAGCCGCTGTATTTTTTATGGGAACCAAAAAAAGTTGATTCTTAGTGGCTCTCGAAATGAAAATAGCTGAATTCGCTGTCGCTGTTGCTTGAATACTTGAAATATGAGGGTTTTTTTCGGCCAGATCCAACGGTAAACGTATGGCCGCAAGCTATCTCGCTTAGTTCGTGCAAATGAGGTTTCTTCTCTTACGAGTGTATTTCCTCCTTCAGCTATAGCTGTTTAGGGTGCCACTTCAACTATATCGGGCATCACGGTACTGACGCTGGTCGATTCCTATATTGTGCAAATCTTCTTCAAGACTGTCTTTCTCGTGGTTTCGTTCTCAATGCTACACGGACTACTTTTTCTTCCTGTACTGCTCATACTGATAATTCCAGAAAAAAGGGTGTGTACAACAAGATAGTTTACTTCTTTTCAAGGGTCGGAATTCTATTCTGATGGGAATTCTACTGTGAAACACATTCAGAAGTATGAGCCACGCGAAACGGGATACTGCGCTAGCAGAGTTGTTTTCACCTGCGACAGTCCGAAAAATGCGAAGAAGGCGTCCTTCAGCGAGCAGTACACAGACGACCCTCTCGAAGATGCCGAGATTGGCAGCCCTGCAAAGGGACCGTCGCTTAATCAACCTTCTGATGAGGACATAGTGAAGGCAACTGTTGACATGATTTCAGGTAAAGTTATCACTCCTGACAGCGCTTCTACGCGATAATATGAGTGCCTGTATGTATTTCCTTCATTTCTGTATTTATACGAATCCCATATCGAATCAGTGCTTTACGCTGAATTGTCTTTCATGGAATAGAGAATGAATAAAAATAAACATACATGTTTACTGTTCGAAACGCTGTTTGTGTTTGTCTCTCTCCATTAGTGAGGCTCAAATGTAGAAGCGCTTAACTCTTGTCCCGCCATAAACTTCGTAAAAATTGCAAAATGCCCCCTACACTGTGCGTTTTTCTGAGAGGTATTGAATGGTAAATCCAGAACTTTAAGCTTGAGAAGAAAAATAAGTATAGTGATTTCTTTTCGCAGCTTTTGACTTCTATATTCAATTGTAAGCTTTGTACATTTAAAGCCTCCTTAGAACACAAAATCATAGAAGTTGAGTGCAATCAGTTATTAGATAGCTGTAGTATATGTTCTNTTAGATAGCTGTAGTATATGTTCTCAAGTCATCAAAAAAAACCATAAATATAGGAACGACGTCCTGTTGGTGGGAACTCAAAAAGAAAATGGGACACACATAAAGTTCTAAGGCAACTCTTGTTAATCTGCAATCATCCTCTGAACAAGCGACTAGGCTTCTCTTTTCCGCTGATTTCTGGCTCAACGCGGTATATTTCCGCACATCCATGATTTTCCTTCCCGAGGCTCGCACCATATATTGGGTTGCTTAGGAAGTCATTAGGATCTTTGGAAACATTCTTTTAAAATACTATATGACCGACTTTTCATTAATCTCAGCATGATCCATGTAAATTCTCGTGATGTAACTTAGCCTCCGAGATCGGAAACAACTTTTTATTCACAGCTAACGTTTCGGTGGAATCGTCTTCTTCGGAGCCTGTAAGTCGAATATATATTTGTGATTCACTAGGTCACCTTTTCAAATCACATAGAGAACATTCTAAGTGCTGCGAAGCACGAGCGATGAAGCTAACCTGTATCCGTGGGGATCTGTTTGACGGCATCCGCGGGAGCGACCTGTGGACGATCTCTGTTGACAGTTTCCACCCTTAGGGGGTCCCCTAGGGCACTCTGCGACCCGATCTCTAGGTCCCAATACATGTAAAAACGCCATGAGGAACTTCGAGCACGGGGTACCGACAAAAAGCTCCACTCGGATACAGGTCAGCTTCATCACCTCTGCTTCGCAGCCCTAAGAATGGCAGTAAGAGCTACAAACGCTATGATAGTGTAATATACTATGACTATGACTGTGCTTGCCGCTCCTATTGTACAAGAAACTCTCCATACAAAGTGGCTATGGCGTTGCCATCCTAACGAAAACCGTAAAACCCTATAAGTTACGGTGTCTTCGTTTTTGCGAAAGTCCTGGCTCATATAAGTTGTGTTGTCTTCAGGATGCGAGCATACCAATACGCCGATATGACGTATAGAAGCATGGAAACAGAAGGAATTGCAATCAGCAGATCCTAACTTATCTTACACAGGTACATGGTAGCCCAGATTGGAGGTGGTGGGCAAGTCCCAACGAATCGAGCAAGCAGTAAAGAGCCACACAGTAAAACAGGAGTAAGAATAATTATGAATTGGAATACATTAAACCAAACAAGACGAGGCGAAAATTTTCTTTCTTGTTTCTTTATTTCTTATAGCAGTTGCTAACCCTGAAATAAATTGACAACAGACATATTATTATTTCATAATATTAATATTAAAACAGTCAATATGTGCATTGTAAGACAACGGCTTTATAAATAGTGAATTTCGAATACAACGAGACATAATGAGTTGGATTCGTATTGTCCACGTGCTCCATCCATACACAACCGTAGTGAAAATCATTTGAAGTACTTGCGGAACTTCTCAAATTTCCTTAAACTTAATCATTTCGTTTATGCTAGTTACATTTGATCACTAATTGGAGAACAGTGTTCACCTAAGATTTCAATGAATTAACGGCGTACCCTAGCCACTGTGCTTCTGTGGACGATTTTGAAGCCCTCTTCGAAAGTGTTGTAAGCCAAAAATAAAGCAGTTATATGCACAGAGCCTTGACGATTTGAATGCCGAATAGACCATGTGGTCAAGTCATGAATAGGGCCTTTCTTTACTGAACCCTGCGGCAAATCTTGATCGGGAAAAGAAAGAAGTTTCGAAAGTATTATCACTTACCGTCATGTGAGGCTTGCAAAGGAAGCCTCACATGTCAATAATTATAGCGGGATAGTAAAGCTTGACTAGTTTTGCCTTTGCGGGATCATGTTGTCAGAAACAAGTGGACTATCTCGAATGGTGGGCTCACTTGGTCATTTTCAAAGTGAACGTATCGGCTGTCGGAGACACTGGTGGAGTTGGGTGATCCATGTCGTCATTACGTTTGCTCGTAGTGCCGACGATTGCCTGCCGGTAATCATCCTGAAAAACAAGGAACAAAGTGTGTTGGAAAACTTAGTGGCTCTCCAGTGACAAAGATTCTGACCCTTCATTGGTTACATTTTCTGTGCCGTCAAATTTTGTTTGGTTTGCTAGCAGAATATACATAGGACTGTTTGACATCCTGTTCGATTTTGTTGTAAATCTTTATAGCTAGAAGCAACTTACATTTTCTTCTTCTTCTTCTTCTACTTCATCCTGTTTCATGAAAGGATACCTCAAGGCCTGTGAAAGCGATTCGTTTTTCCTCTCACAAGAGAATGGATCCATCAACCCGCTGTGCAATGCTAAATAACTGCATCTCCATATTAATGCCATGCCAAAAATTTTATGAATAGGAGCCGTTGAAGAAGTATGGGAAAGAACCTACAAATCTGAGTCTTTTTTACATAGTAGAAAATGTCGAAATGTACAAATAGCGAAGTGGGACCAAGGTTCCGGTTTCCAATAGACCGCAGAATCACATGCCGGTAACCTAAAACTAGTGACACGTGAGTTCACTTCCTTTCCGAGAAGTTTACTATGACGAATACTAATTGCTCCACTGTTTTCTTCTATTTTTTGAAATTCCAATTATAATCTTAGCTTGACTACAGTTCATAGTGTTCTGAATACCTCCAAGAAGACACAGATGAGTAGAAACACAGGACAGCTATCGATATCCATAGCTTTTATGAACGAGAACTTAGAAGCTCCTCACTAGCACATGTTAATGAATGCGAAGCTTATAGACTGTAAGTTTGTAAGCACTAATGCCAGAAAACGTTGACATGTGGTGCACCCGCCCACTGTTACAGTACATTCTTAAGAAACACTTGCCGCGAAATGGGAGCTGACTAGCGTGTTTCCAAAACCCGATGATTTGAAACGATTCAAAATGTACCGTTTTGAAGCCTACTGAGCGAGAGAATTCTGTAATATGCCGGTGGCGTTGGGTTTCCATTTGGCGAAGAGAATGAGACGCACAGTTGCAAAAACGCAGTTTCTGGCATCACAATCTGCAAAGAGTGAGGATTATCAGGATTAATTCTGAATAATGTTATATGGTTCAGCTCACTTGATGAAACCTGTTCCGAAAGCCCTCACCTTCTCAAATACTGCCTGTCTAGATTTGAAATGGGTATGGAATCCGGCTGTGTCGGTACTGGAGACTCGGTACGATGTGCTAATTCTTTCTTGTTGTGGAAGATCGAACAAATCCAAAGTTACATAGCACAGAGAGTGCTCTGATCTTCGCTCTACGGGAAGGAAAAGCGCGGAAATAACCTGCAATTGTTCAAAAAATGTTTGCAACAGTTTCACCCGGCCGCCCTTGTGAATCACACTCTAGGAGTAAAGAGTTTCACATCCACAATGAACTTCGAAAGCAGCAAGTGAGATGAAAGAAAGAAAAATCTTATTCTTCACCGAATACGTCCCCTCTCTTGAAGTAATTGGCAGGGAGCATCGGCTATGGAGCTAGCGAAGATGTAGTAACGAATCTTTATCATATTCAGTGGCCTTCCACCATGTCTGTATGTACCTTTCAGTGAGGAAATGTTGTGTACTCACTGTGACTTTCAACGTGACACGCATTCGATAGGGTACACGACTGCTATAGATGTCAAAATCGAGTGAAGGATCACATAAACATTCAGGCTTCTTGACGTACCTAAATGTATCGGACTATGGCAAGGTTCAGCAGAGCATTAGAAAATGATGCACGAATATCGCAAGCCAAATCTTGCCAGTCCAACAGATACATATAATATATTCGTGAGATCAGATCTTGAACAGCATGAAATGCGTTCAATGAAATGTGATACCTTACAGTATCTACCATTTCTAACGTTTTCAAGCATCGTATAGCGCTTTTGAAACCTTATTACTACTAGTGAGTATTATCTCAGAAAGGAGAACGGGAACAAAAACTGGGCGAGTTAAACGGGGTAGAGGTAGGATAAGGGATAAGAGCTCGGTGCCCGGTAGGCATAAGATCGGGTTCGAGTCCTGTTCGAAACCGAAGTTTTGTCCATAAATCGCCAACTTGTGAGATTATAGAGCGACCACTGTTCTCGGGGGCTTTGAAATCCCTATGTCTACACCTAGGGCGATCATGGAGACTGTAAGCATTTGCGTTGCAATCTTACCTTGACATTTTTCTTCTACGTAAACCCTCTATCGCGGGATGTGTTCTTTTACTTACTGGGTCTTGAGGAGAGTAGCAGAAACTAACTTCCTCGAAATTGTTCCCGTTTTGCCTTATGATGCTGTTTTGATCGTTCAAATATATGTACGATAGCTTACCCGCAATTGGCGGTCTGCTCAAACATCGCGTGATTCATCAGCATTTCAGTGGAATTTGTTTGAAAATTAAGGGCTACCATCTGGACTCCCATGATCCAATGGATCTAAATGACAAAGTGTACTTATACTACAGAGAGTGCTTCTCACTTTTACCCCAAATTCAATTCAAACAACTGTTACAAAAGAGTATTAAGGTTCTAGTAGATTTCAAAATACAAGATTTTTATCAAACGAACGACGAATAATTAATTTTAAATCGAGAAAACAAGATGAAGCATGAAGTTGTCGTGGAAGACCTGTTCATTTCTGAAGAAAGGCCTACGCGTTCACGTGACGATACTATTCTGAATGACAATGGACCAGTGAAGCTACTGACCAATGAGACTCAATACTCTTCATCTTTGTATTTTATTGCCTTTTTTGTTAATAAAGAAAGTATTTGCTTAATATATGAATGAAGTCTGCAGACTGAAAGGAGCCCAACAACGCTGCAGGTGATTGGTCACCCTGTTCGTACGCTTTTCACCTATTCTATAATAGCAGAGTTCGCAAAGACACTTACATAGGGAAGGAAGTTGTCCGAGGTGATGCGCATATTTGCTGGAAACACGCGAACCAATCTCTTTGAAGTGTGTTTGATGAGGCTGTTAGCTTGCCGTTGTGCTTGATCTTTATAAATTTTGATTGAAGCATCCTCGCTCATCGAGCACATGCAAAAAAGGCGTCGCTCAGCTGCAATAAAGAAAGATGCTATTTCATTTAGAAGTCAAAAAAATTCAGGTATCCGTGTCGCCGAATACATAATTTACGCAGATTATTCAAAACCACTTCACCTCACACGATTTTGGTCGGAGAGAAGTTAACCTTCGATTTTGCTTATTTTTTTAGATCCTTCGAGAAGAGGCATTTGTAGTATGAAAGCACCCAACCGATTAAATTGTCAGTATCTTTGGAGCGTCAAATAATATTTGCAAAAGCACCCATGAAATATGTAGGCGCCTGCATTGGTTCAAATTCTCACACGGAAAAGGACGCTTCTCAGCTACGGAGTTTAGCCGACTTTATTCAAAGGAAGCGCCCGCAGCGAGGAGGTAGCTGTTTCCACGAAAGCTCAACAGCATGTTGCGAAACTTTCCAGCCAAAAAATGTTTCACCTTCGCGATGGAAAATTTGATGCTTGCTCGGAACTGGAATTGAGATTTCGACCTTCTTCAATCGGCCGCCGCCATTCCAGGATAGGAAAGGTCCATATCTTTTGGACCACGATGGAGACTATGTTACTGATTAAGATTCTTTTAAATGAAAGCAAGAGTTTTTGAAATATCGATGAAAAGTGGATCACAACTTTGTACACAACCCAATATTTATATCTGTATCACCTGTTGTCCCGTTGATAATCGATTTCCTCCAGCGGGCGTCAGCAACGTCTCCATTCGTCACTGTCGCGAGCCAGAGTAGTCCAGTGAATGGTCCTCGCCTCGGAGGATACAAGCGTTGCTCTCGTTCAGAAATGTCGCGGAGAAGTAAGTCTGAGCATGGCGTTTGCGGCCGTCCTACTGTATCGCATTACGTGTACGGCACACCTTGTCTTCGATTTCTTCGATCTTTCTTTCCACAGCGCGTTGACTAACACTGATTGCATGCTCATCCTGCTTTCGTAGAGTCCAAGTCTCCGAGGCGTATGTCAAAGCAGGGAGAACCGCAGTGTCGAGAAGGTGAACTCGGAGCCCGATGTTCTTTGTCTTTTCACTACTTTCTCGGTGTTCTTGAGTGGTCCCCACGCCCCGTCTTTCATTCTGCTCAGCTTTCTTGCTAAGCCGTTCATCATATTGATTTCTCAGCTAGATACACGTAGTCAAAGCATTTAGAAATATTTGTTTCGCTTAGCGAACATAGATTCAGTCTCAATCCGGTCTTTCCAGAAGCACTGTCGAACTCGACCAGCACTTGTTCTCCTGCCCTACGTTGGATGGTATAGGCACGATGTCGTCGGCAAAGCGGAGGTGATGTAAAAAGCGGCCTCGTCGATATTCACTCCCGAGTCTTCCAACTCCAAGCGGTGTTTGTGTTCTCGCGAGCGGCACTGAAAAGTGTGGGCGAGTTGGTATCACCCTGTCGCAGTCCACTCCTCACTTTTATTATGACTTCTTTATATTTAGAATAGCGAGATCCTGGTGTTTTTGTAGAGGTTATGAATCATCTTTATATATTGAGTAGAAACACCCTGGTTGCCCGGCTTCAATCATTGCTTTTGCCTCGACGGTGTCAATGGTTATTTCAAATCGACGAATGTGAGACGCTAAGGCATCCTGTACTCTCGCGAAAATTTAATGAGCCTTGTAATAGTGTGGCTGTCCTTCATCTAATATTCTGCCAACTCTGTTGAGGACGACGCCTGTAAGTAGTTTGCAGATTACAGACAGCGTTGATTGGACGATGATTGCGTGGATCTCCCTTCTTACACAGCAGCAAAGCCTTGCCGGTCGTGCCGAGCCAGAATTTTCACAATGACGGGCGGAAGGCTCTTTAGGCTCTTCTTCAGTTACGTGATGGCAGGTCAAATTTCGGAGGGAGCGAAGCAACGACATATCCGCCTCTCCTAAGATAGAGGTGGCTGCCGAAGAGACCCAAGCAGAGATCGTAGATTACCTCCTTCATTGCCCTCCGGGATGCAGATAACTGTTCTGTAAGGACGACGAAGGGAAGTCATCTAGGTCTTGCGATTGGAGAAGCTTCGGCAGACTTCGCGAATGCGCTTCGCAGCCTCAGGGGTTTTGCAGCTGCTCTTCTCTTTACCAGATCTTCCTTCACCGCTTCTCTGCTTCGCAGCTTTTGACGGCTAAATGCTAATTGCCTGTACTTCACGCGGTTCCACGCTGCCGTATAAGCTCGAAAGTTTTCAAAGAAAAAGTTGTCGACGTCATTCAGACTCTCTTATTTCCTGGCACTATCGTGAAGACGTTCGAAAGCCGCATGTATTCTTCATAGACGTCGTTGCTAACGGTAGAACTTTGGAATGGCAGAGACATCAGTTAGGCAAAATTTTCAGTTGAAGATGATGCGATCTATTTCGTTATGGGTTTGTCCACGACGTGACTCTATTGTAGTTTAGAGGGGTTCTGAAACTGTATATTTCTATAAGTGGTGTGGGTCGACTTCATAAAGTCAGACAGTCTTTTACCCTGCTCATTTCACGACGTTCCGTTAGACCCGATATAAAGCTCTCCAGCCATTCTTCTATAGCCAATCTTAGCGTCAAAATGACCGACGGTGACCCTGAAAAACGTATGTCCTCTGTAGAGCCAAAATCCTTATAGATGCTTCCAGCTCTTTTCGTTGTAGCTCGACATTGGTGCGTAGACATCGAAGATTATTAGAGATGGGGTTAAGCCGTATCATCTCAGTCGCGACCGTCCGACTCAAGTTTTCAAGTTTACGTACGAATCGATATTCATGGCCACGGTTATGTTGACGAGAGCACATACACCGCCGAACCCTTTGCTGTCGTATGTTTCAGAGGGCAACTCTTTTCCATTTACGAAAATCTCCTTCTCTTATCGGCCAATCCGATGACTTCGTCCTTGATCTTTCAAGATTGCACCATTGGATCTTCGATGCACGCTTTCGATGTAAGCGTTCCTGCATTGAAAGCACAGATGGTCATCATAGCCTCCTTCTCCTTTTGGGCAGCCTACTATGGCTCTGAAATTTTAGAACCCTCTCCAGAGCGTTCCTACTCAACGCTGACGTTTTGGGGCACCCTCAGCTTCGGGGAGAAGAACCTCATTTATTTAATTGTCTCTGACATATGAGCATCCACGAGTAGCTTACCAGGCTCTAACGTGAGGATTGAGGTGAGTTATATCCGCTAGGTAGCTAGGCGGTCCCAGAGGTGAGAAATGCTTTATTTTTGAAAGCGGATACTAGTGGTCGCCTTCCCGATACTTTCCAGTCACTCGAATGCAAGCTTTTTGCCGAGTCGATGGGCAAGACACCGACTGCACCCGCAGACTCCTCCACATATGTATGCGATACAGAAGTTATATCGACCCACAGAAATAATGAGTCCATCCCCGAATCTACCTGCGTTTCTGGGTGAGCACCGGAGAATTACTGCCCATCTGCCACCTAAAAACTCATTACGTACCCCCGTCGCTAATCGGCCGAGATTTTTTATTCGAATGTTGGGCTGACATAATGTATGGCAAATATGAATGACAAACACGCGACCATATTTTTATTGGCGAACTCACACGGACCGGAGCAAGCGCACCTTCCGATATGAAGGACAAACCACCCATCGACAGTTCAGACCCTGTCTTGATTTTGGAAATTCTTGCAACTCTGAACATCTCTTAGAAAGCGCTATTCGACATACTTCCTCCAAACCAATGATTGGAAGAATATTTCTAGGAGTGATTCTTGTACCCCTCGGCATATTCTTTTTACAAGAAGAACTGCTATACAGTCCCCCACTAAAAAAGGCGTACCATTCCATGTGTGAGGTACCTTATCCGCAGTGAGGTAATTGACAATCCTTGATAGATCACTCGTCGAATGTTTTTCCTGTTCCGGACATAATTGTCGTTCGATCACTTCTTCTGCTAGTAGTGCTAGCTCGCTCTAAATAGGTACTTCCAAAAATATGTATCAAGTGTCGCTCACACGTTTTTTTTCAGTCCAAAGGAAGGTTATCATACAGGAGCTTCACCTTTGAAGCTTACTTGGGACCGCTTTGTCTCAGAGGTCTGTGACGATCAATGTTAGGGGTCTCACTCCCTTACAAAGGCTCTACGAATTATCCCAAATCGGCGTAATAATAGCTTCGGTTCGAAACGGTAAATTCAACTCGGCACGCAACATACTTTGACCTGGACTTTGCTTCTGATTCAGAAGAGAGAGCGATGCGTGGCACCTAATATGTGGACTGACAGGGAATCCATTCCCTCCTTTTTGTGCTTCGCACTTCTCTTGCAATAGCTCACAGTCCTATCATAGCACATTGGTTTCGTGACGTCACGACCTCAGTTAGGCGCAGACCACGTACAAAATCAGCCGAGACTAGTCAGAATGGAATGTTCAACTATAGAAAGATATTGATTAGATACTTTGAACCTTTGTCATGAATCTACATATGAAAGAAAGTAAATACATATTACTCTTCAAAAAGTTAGTCACCCCATTCAGGACAGGAATACTTGGCTTCCGATCAGGATA